AGCGTGCCGTGCAGTCCCACGAAGGAGGAAGAAGGCGGACATAGCCGCGGAGTTTGACCACGGAGTGAAGAAGGAGGGAGAGAGACCAGACAGAGGGGGAGACCTAGACCGAGGAGGAGGAAGGAGAGATGAACAAAAAAAAAAAAGAGAAAGAAGACAGCAGGGTGAAAGAAGGCGAAGAAGGTGAAGGGAAGAAGAGGGTTGGCGAGGAAGGAGAAGCCGGCAGCCATAGCTGACCGCGGCGTTGACCGGGAGAGTTGACCAAGCGCTGACCGGAGGTGTTGACCGACATTGACCGGAGGTGACCTGGGGTTGACCGGCGTTGAGCAAGGCGTTGACCAAGACTTTGACCAAGCTGGAGTCGGTATAATCTCGCCAAGCCTTCAGCCTATCCCTCGCCCTATGGATGTGCACACACCCTGTGGTTCTTGCCGAGTCCAGTCAGTCTGTCTCTTCTTTCTGCATTGAGTCTCTTCTGTCTAGGTGATAGCACTCTGTGCATGAAGGATAGGGCCTTGTTGACCAAACCCACACGGGATGAGTAGGGCTAAAAACTGTGTTTGACGACTCGACTGTCCCGGAGGCCTAACCCTCCCAACGACCGGTACTGACCGGCGGGCTGCTCGGTGTGGCTTGGTAGGCCCAAAATCCGGTACTGATCGTGTCGTCCTGTCTGCGACGTTAAATAATTCCTGAGGAGTTACGGGGGATCTCCTTAAATGCCTCTTGATCAGCAACAGGTCTAGTAGTGACAACCATAGTATAGGTCTAGGCTAGAGACCCTAGTTGGCAGGATCCCTGTCTGTGAGTCTTAGATTGGGTCAGTAGGTTGTCAGTCAGGGGCTTAGAGTCTAAGTGGTGAGGAGTGGAATCGTTCTGGACTTGCGTAGTGGGAAGAGCACTAGCCCCTACACCCAGGAGCAACAAGAGAAAATGGTCACCTTAGTGAGAGAGAACAAAGAGAGGAAAGAGCTCCAGAAACAGGCGAAGCTAAAGGCTATCGCAGAGGAGCAGGCGGCGAAGATGAAGAAACTGGAGGAGGAGATGAAGAGGGTTCAACAGGAGGAGGAAGAGAGGAGAAAGGCTGCAGAAGAGGAAGCAGCAGCAAAGGAAGAAAAGAAGAGAAAAAGTATTGAAGAGAGAGGAGAGAGTAGTGGCACGAAGAAGGATGAAGAAGCAGAGATGGAGAAGAAGATCAGCGAGTGGGTTGCTAATTTATCGCTGGGGGAGGATGAGGAGGTAGAGTTCTATGTGCCTCAGGATGAGAGGGATGCGTTAGCCCAGGAGCTAGCAGCAATGGAGGACCCCCTGGAAAGACAAGAAAGAGAGGAGGAGAAAAAGTTGGAGTGGAAATTAAGAATGAAGAGGGAAAAGAAGAGAATGAGGGATGAAGTTAACAGGCTGACCGCAGGGGTGGCGAAGGTGAAGGATTGTAGGCAGGAGGTGGAGGCTCAGACAGACGCCTCGGCCAAATGCGATAAGGTATTGGGGTACCTGGAGGTGTTGAGCGTAGCTTGAATGGAGGAACGCCAAGCCAATAGAGCTCAAGAGGTAGCCCTGAAGGCCATGCGGTCCGGTTTTCAGGATTTTGCGCGCGAGACGGTTACCCACGTTGGAAGTTTTGTGAGGGTGCCATTGAGGGCGCCAAAGTAGTAGTCGCTGTTGAGGGCGAGGCCAGACCTCGCAAAGAACCAGTCAAACTCAAGTTTCCCGATGCCTATGGCAGGAAATCTGACGAGAACTTCGATAACTGGGAGGCCAGCGTCAACAGATACGTTTACTTACAACACATTGTACAGGACGATCAGGTCCTGGTTGCCTTCCAGGCCCTTAAGGACGAAGCGACCATTTTTGCTACGTCCCTCGCGCGCGCGGCCGGTTGTGAAAACAACATGGTCGCCTATTCCAAGGTTACCCCTCTCCCTCAATTCTTCAAGCTCCTTAGGGAGCGATTCGCTGATCTTCGCAGAGGCGTTAGAGCCTCTGACAAACTCCAAACCATCCACTCACGGCAGTGGAGGAGTGCCAAGGCACTCAAGGGCGTTATGGACGACTTGGTAGCCGTCCCAGACCACGGGGTCACTGAGCCCCGGTTGGTCCAATTATTTTATCGTGCCATGCCAGAGCCCATGAGGGGGCATTCTTTGACAAATCCCAACAGCCCACCATGACGTACGATGCGCTCAGTAGAGAGGTGGTGCTGTTTGAGGCCAAGTCCATGCCAGTTACCACTTTCTGGCATAAGGACTTAGACAAGGGGAAGAAGTGGAAAGGCCGTACCATCTCAGGCCAAGTCAGGGCCAAGGATCAAATGATCCTTACCTTAGAGGAGGGTGGTACAGATGAGGTCCCACATAGTCAGATTGAGTGGGGCCTTGAGGAGGAGGACAGTAGTGTGGGACAGGGGAGGTCCTATGCTGCTGTCGCGGCTGGAGGGAGGCCGCAAGGTAGAGGAGGAGGCCAGGGCCAAAGGGGCCAGGCCATGGGAGGCCGAGGACCGGGCGCACAGGGGGTTGGCGGACAAGGGAACCGCCAAGTGGGAGGTAGGGGTCAAGGTCCCCCGCCAAATCGCCAGGGTTCCTGTCGGTCCCCTCAGCGACGAGGTGGAAGGTCACCTCAAGGACGATGGCCCCCAGGTTTGCCACAGGGCAGGCCCTGGGAAGACTTGGGCTTGGACCAGCGCGTATGGCAGGAACGCGTGGACCTGGGTCAGTGCGTATTCTGTGGTGCCCCGGCCCATGTAATTAAATTTTGTCCCAAGTACAGACAGGCCCGATGGGCTGCCCCGCAGTCAAAAGGCAGCGACCAGTAGGGTTCGCAACTGCTCCTACTTCAAGGCCATGTGGGGAAGCGAGCGTGCGTGAACAGGAAACTCCCAAACCACATGAGCCTATGGCAGAGGTTGCAGGCCCGTGCCTAGCTAGCTGTCCAGAGACTGCTTGTGTTAGCGTCCCTCTAGGCACGTCCCTCACAGGTGTGGCAGAAGAGCTGAAGGACAGGATGCCATCCTGGGCCAAAATGAAGAAGGAGAGCAAGGGACAGCTAATCTTAGTTGATGTAAAGGTTTTTAGGAGTAGAATAGGGGCCCTTATAGATTCAGGAGCTACCCGTAGTTATATTAGTCGTAGAGCGTTGAAGAAGCTGAGGCTAGGACTAAAAGTCCAAAAGCTAGTAGACCCCATAGTCAGTGTCCTCACATACAATCGCACTATGCGCGTTGAGGACTACGTAGAGGGAGTCCAGGCGTACTTTCGCCTCGAGAAAGATGGGAAAGTGGGGAAATTTCTCCATTCCCTGACTCTCCTCGTACAAGATGAACTTCCTTTTGATATGGTGTTAGGAATGGATTGGGGAGAGGCAGCAGGGGCCACACTCCACTTGAGAGAGCATGAGTGTAGGCTCCCTAGTCCGTCAGGTGAGGTTAAGACTGCCCGCCTGTTTCATGTGTCAGGTGTAGATAACACCCTAGCACATTGCTGTCTCAGTGCTCCCACGTTCGCGCGACTAGTGAGAAAGGAGCAGTTAGAGGACCAGGTCTTTATAGTTCATGTTAGACCTGTCACTAAGGCCAAGAAAGAAGATAGTTCCACAGATCCAACCATAGCCAAGCTGTTGGAGGAATTCAAAGACTTGACTGAGTCGCCGGCCGGAGTAGTGCCGCGACCCATCCAGCACAGAATAGAGATAGAGCCCGACAGTAGAACTCCTAAGGGAGCAGTTTACAAAATGTCCCCTAGAGAGTTAGAGGAACTATGTAAGCAATTAGACGAGCTCCTTGAGAAAGGTTGGATCAGGCCTAGTTCATCTCCTTTTGAAGCACCTGTCCTGTTTGTCCCCAAGAAGGAAGGAGAGTTTCGTATGTGTATAAACTATAGGGGTTTGAACGCGATTACTGTGAAGAATGTTGAACCACTGCCCAGGATAGACGATCTCTTAGATTGGGTGCAGGGTTGCAAGTATTTCTCTAAGATCGACCTGAAGTCCGGATACCATCAGATAGAGGTTCATCCTGATGACCAGTACAAGACCGCGTTCTGGACTAGATATGGGCACTACGAGTTTATAGTGATGCCCTTTGGACTGACCAATGGGTCAACTACTTTTCAGCGTTGTATGAATGATCTATTTAGACCGTGGTTAGACAAGCTTGTAGTAGTTTATCTAGATGATATATTAGTTTTCAGTAAGACCCTCCAGGAGCATCAGGGTCATCTGAGACAAGTCTTAGAGAAGTTGAGAGAGTCAAACTTCAAGATCAACGCGAAAAAGTGCGAGTGGGCCAAGACACAAGTTTTGTACTTGGTCCAAGTATTAGACGGAGATGGCATCAAGCCCGAGGACAACAAGATAGCGGCAATTAGAGACTGGCCGACGCCCCGCACATTGACAGAATTGCGGTCGTTCCTAGGCCTAGCCAATTACTATAGAAAGTTCATAAGGAACTTCTCTACTATCGCCGCTCCCTTGCGCAGGCTGCTTAAGAAAAAAACAATCTGGCAATGGGACAAAGATTGTACGTCCTCGCTAAAGAGACTGAAGCGCATTAATAGAATGCCCTGTCCTCAAAGAAGCTGATCCGTCCTTGCTATTTGTCGTCACCACGGACGCGAGTCAATATGGAATAGGCGTCGTGTTGCAGCAAGACGACGACAATGGCTAAAGACCCGTAGAGTTCATGTCAGCGAGGATGCCCTCAGAGAAGGTTGCTACCTCGACGTACGAGAGAGAACTCTATGCTATCAGGCAGGCTCTAGAGCACTAGAAGCATTACCTGCTTGGGAGGCACTTCAAAGTGTATTCTGACCATGAGACACTTAGATGGCACCTAAGTTGACTAGGTGGGCCGCAGAGATAGACCAATATGACTTTGAACTCAAGTCAGTGAAGGGCAAGTACAACGTAGTTGCGGACGCTTTGAGTAGGAGATCAGACTACTTTGGAGCCATAGTACACTATCTAGATATAGGGAGAGACTTGCAAGAGAAAGTGAGGCAAGCGTATGCGCAATACCCTATCTATAGCGACCTCCTAAAGAGAGTTGGAGAGGCCCCAGAGACCGAACCACACTACCACACTACAGAAGGACTGTTGTTTGAGAAGACGGATGTATTCGACCGCCTATGCGTTCCCAATAGTGAGGAAATCCGCAGTCTGATCCTAGGGGAATGCCATGACGCAGAGGGACACCTCGGTTGGCAGAAGACTTTAGCCAATCTAATGTGTGCGTATACCTGGCCTGGAATGAAAGCTGACTGCATAGAGTATGTTCGCAGTTGCAAAGTTTGCCAAAGGAACAAGACCACTACGCGTGCCCCTCTAGGTCTTCTCAGACCCTTGCCTATCCCAGACGAGCCTGGAGACTCAGTGTCCATTGACTTCATGGATGTCGGTGTCAAGAGTAGGCACGACAAGAGCCAAGTCATGGTCATAGTTGATAGATTTAGTAAGTATGCTGTTTTTGTTCCCTTGCCTGCAGAGGCTCGTACAGATTTAGTCATACAAAGGTTCTTTGATTTTTGGGTTAGTAAGAATGGAGTCCTGTTGTCAATAGTTAGCGATATAGATAGTCGCTTCACCAGCTAGAACTGGCAAGAACTCATGGGAGTTTACGGATCTTAGTTGTTGATGTGGTCCGGCCGCCATCCAGAGACCAACGGTCAGACCGAGCAAATGAACAAGATCCTACAGCAAGTTTTGCGCATGTACATTAGACCCGACCAGATCAACTAGGACGAGATGTTACCTCAGGTAGCTAGCGCATACAATAACAGCCTGCATCTGTCCACCTGTCGCACTCCCAATGAGCTGCACAAGTCCTTTAGACCGCGCAGACCCTTCGAACGACTGAACCGGGATCAGATCCACAGGCTACCGCCCGGTACAAGGGAGTTCGCGATACAGCACGAAAAGGAGCTAGCAACTGTTGTTCAGAACCTCGGGAAGGCCCAACACAGGATGATAGAACAGGCAAACAAGCACCGTCGCTCGTCTCAGTTCCAAGTAGGCGACTTAGTCTGTGTCAAGGCTAAAGAGTTTGCACCTGAGGAGAACATCTCGCAGAAGTTACTGCCAGCATACAGAGGACCGTGGCCTGTTCTAGAAGTAAAGGGCGGAGAAGATGGACCGTCCTACACAATAGAGATACCTTTGCACCTCCACACTTACCCTGTGTTTCACGCATCAAAATTGTTGCCCTGCGTCACAAGCCAACAATTCCCATCTAGACGATCCATGATCCCTCCGGACATGGATGGGAGATACTACATTGAGGGCATTGTAGATGAAGATGTGTACAGGTCAGGAGGTAGAGGTCGTCCGCAGTATAAGGTCCGGTTTGACTATCAGGAACCGGAAGACGATCGCTGGTTTACAAGAACAAAACTTTTAGAAAAAACAGCTCCCGACATAGTCAGAGCCTATGAACGTGATAAGAAAGGTAAAGGTCCTGCCTTGGAATGAAATATTCTTAGAGGACCTCGAATTTAGGACGGCGGGAGTGAAACGGTTTTCACCTCTTTGCAGTAGCAGACGCTGATCCCAGGGCTCGATCCCTAGATGTGGCATACTGCGTAGCCACACGGGCCCTGCAGGGCCCGTCC